CTCAGCGTGCCTGGGGGTGGGGCATGGCAGCATGTGATGCAGAGATTGAACTCTGATCCCTGTGCTTGCCTAAGTAGACAAGGAGGCCAGAACATGAATTTGATGAGGAGAGTGATGCCACCTTTGGGCCTATCTGCACTTAGTCTGCTAAGCTATCTCACCAACCCTTTGCATTTAGTCCATCTTTAAGAGTTGCCAAAATTTTAAGTGTTCCAGGAAAAGAAAAGTCCGAGTCCAAAGTTTCTTCTGAGACTTAGGGCAAACTTTTAGCAGTGAGCCTCTGTAAATATCAAAATATAGTTAAATATTGCTGACAAACAAAGGCACAGAGTAAATATTTATATTCCAAAAGAGAAAAATAAGGGGGTAGAATCCAAAGGGACAAAAGCAAGACCTAAGCCCCGCAGGGAGATCATTAAGTTTCTTAGTTCCATGCACACCACTGGGCAAGTTGTGGCAATGAAACGTGAACTCCAAAAAGCTTGGGTGGCCCTTTCCCTACAACATTGTGGGTGGTTGTAGCCTTCATGGCTTCTTTCCTTGGCTGGTTATGTTCACTCCCTGCAGTTTTCTCCAGATGTTTCATGTTCTTGGCCTCTCCTCTTCCAGAAGTCTCCAGTGCAACTTTGGCTTCACACTCACAGCTTCACACACTGCCTGTGAGACCTTCTGAAATCTGGTTTGAAGTCCTCTGACCCCATGTCTCTCACATTCAGCATGCCTGTAAAACCAGTAGCACATGGCTGACTCCAAGGTCAGAGCATTGGCCAGGTCCTTTTGCAGTGTGGCTACAGAGGCTCCCAAATATTGAGATTGTTTGGCACTATGAACTGAATCCCTAGGCTCCCATTCTCATCATGGTACCTGTGGTACCATGGATTGACAACTGGTGGTCAACTTGTAACACTCAGCTGAGGGCTGGTGAGATGGCTCAGTGGTCTAAAGCACCTACTTAGAACAAGCTTAGCAAAGCACAGGGACCGCTGTTCAAATCCCCCAGCACCACATACCAGCCAGCCTCGCCCCCTGGTGGGCTGAGCTGGCCACACACACACACACACACACACACACACACACACAAATAAATAAAATTAAAAAAAAAAAAAACACTCAGCTGAACTGAACCAGCATAGTACTGGGTGTGGGAGGCCCACCTAAGGATCGTTGTTAGCAGGTAAGTGTCAGAACTGGAGAGAAAGAAGTTCAGAAAACTGTTAGGGAAGCTGTAGAGAGCTGTTGGTTTCCCTGGAGGAGCTTATCCATCTGGCTTTCCTGATGAACTCAGCTGCTCTCATTGTTGAATGAACTCAGGACCCTACAGTCCCTGAGAATGGATCCGGTTAATTTTCCATGAGTTCTGGTCCTCACTTTGAGCATTGATTCCTGGTTCTGGAGGGGCAGATGGTGGACTGCTCAGTCTCCTGGAGAAGCTTGTTGCATTGGCTTTCCTGAGGAACTCAGCAGTTCTCATTGTCAGAGGAGCTTAGAACCTCACTATTACTGAAGATGGCTGTGGTACTTTTTGGGAGAGCTCCGGTTTTTATGATGAGTATTTATTCCTGGCTCCAGTGTAGATCCGTCAACCTGAGAGCAGAGATCCTTCATCCCGCTGGCACAGACTTTCTATCTTCTACCACTGACTGACCTTTGGGCCTTCCTAGTGCAGATCTATGAAACAGTTCTGCAAGTCCTGACATTGTCGTGGGCTCTTTGACTCTGGATGGACTTGTTGGGGGCATTTTTATAGGCTCTAAGTCTTCATCTGGACTAATTCAGGGCACTGCTGTGGACCCAGGCCCTCAGCTGGATTCCTTGGTCTTTAGTGTGTGGACAGATTTCCTGTTCTCTTTGTACATGACTCTTTGGGTGACTATTAGAAAATAATTTTGCTCTCGCCCTCTAGTATGGCTGGGGCCGGTTAACTGGGCTGCGGTCGCGAAGAGAAGGCAGGCTTCCCGTGCTTTCGCTGTCATCCTCTCAACGATGGAGCTTCTGTCACGGTTCTGCAATTTGCCGATTCGCAGGAACTCGGGCTATTTATCTCATTCTCAGCGTACACTACCGTGCCTGCACAAGTGTAGGCTCGCGGCTCTCTCAACCAGCTCCACGCCAGCGGTGAAGCCGAAAACAGAGCCTGTGGAAAATGAAGCTGTTGCCCCAGAGTTCACCAACCGAAACCCTCGGAATCTGGAGCTGTTAGGTGTAGCCAGGAAAGAGCGGGGTTGGGGGACCGTGTGGCCGTCCCGAGAATTCTGGCACAGGTTGCGAGTTATAAGGACTCAGCATCACGTGGAAACCCTTGTGGAGCACTGGAATGGCCGGGTTGTGGTGTCAGCATCCACTCGTGAGTGGGCTATCAGAAAGCACCTTTATAGTACCAGAAACATGGTAGCTTGTGAGAGTATAGGACGAGTGCTGGCACAGCGATGCTTAGAAGCAGGAATCAACTTCATGGTCTTCCAGCCAACGCCTTGGGAAGCAGCAGTAGACTCGATAAAGTGTCTACAAAGTGCCATGAGGGAGGGTGGTGTGGTGCTTCAGGAACCTCGGAGAATCTATGAATGAAACGGAGGCATTAATTGTGGAAATACAAAATTGTTAGCTACTTACGGCCATCAAAAGAAAGCTTCTGGAAGAAAAAGCCTGGAAGTTTCCTAGCAGTAATGTAGAAGTGGGCCGGGGAGATGGCTCAGTGGAATAAGCGCTTCCCTGGCAAGCATAAGGGCCTGAGTTCAATCCCTGGTTCCGCCAAAAACATAAATAAATGTAACAGTGGAAGATTATTTGTAGTTAGGTTTGGGGTGTGTGTGTGTGTTTGTGTGCGCCTGCCTGTAAAGTTTTGTTTTTTAATCTAAATTCTTCCTCATTTTTAGTTATGAAAGCTGTATCTAAGGAAAGCATAATCATTTGTAACTTTTGAAGGACAAAATTTGTAAATTAACAAAATAAAGGCACAGTAACTTCAAAAAAAAAAAAGAAAATAATTTTATAATTAAGTGTCCTATTTTCTACTGTTTTCCCTTGCAAAACTCCAAACTACAGCAGTGCCTAAGGGCTTTCTTCTCAAACCAACATTTTGCAATTATGAGACAGGAGGTGTGGGGAAGTCTTACTGACATGCCTTTTGGCCAATTTTTCTATAGTCCTGATCCAAAGTACTTGGCTTATTTATTTATTTATGTTTTTCTGAGACAGGGTCTCACTCTGCAGTTCAGGCTGGATTTGAGCTCACTTTGTAGTCCAGGGTGGTCTCAAACTTGCAACAATCCTCCTGATTTACCCACCTAAATCCTGGGATTACAGGGGTATGTCAGTACTTGGTATTTTTTTTTTTTTAATTTACTTACTGTTTTGTTTTGAGGCCGGATCCCACTGTATAGTTCAGGCTGGGTTGGTAGTCCAGCCTGGTTTTGAACTCAGAACTGTCCTCCTACCTCAGCTTCTTTTGTGCTGGGATTATATGTGTGTGCCATTATGTTTGGCTTTGTCTTCCTTTAGTATTAATCCTTTCAGCAACCAGGCTCTCACGTGCTCCAAGTTTATAGACCCTTCCTTTCTGGGAAAATTGAAAATGTTTTAAATGAGCTTTTTGCTCCTGAATTTTATTACAAAAAGTAGCAAGAATTATTCATACTGTAGCCTAAATATTGGGCTACTTAGAAATTTTTCTGCCTGATAATTACTCAGGGTCCTTAATCACAGTCTCCTGCAGAGTCTCAAGACATGAACAGGGCTGGAGAGATGGCTCAGTGGTCTAAAGCACCTACTTGAAGCAAGCTTGGCAAAGCACAGGGACCGAGGTTCAATCCTCCAGCACCATATGCCAGTCAGCCCCGCCCCCTGTGGTGGGCTGAGCTGGCCACACACACACACACACACACAATAAATAAATGTAATAAAAAAAATAAATAAATATTTAAAAAAAAAAAGAAATGAACAAAATGTAGATAATTTCCACCAGAATAAACACACAGGGTGTGAAGCCCACCTACTAATGGAATCCCTTGCAACTGAAATTTCCAAGCCTGGTCTTGACTTTCTGTCTTCTCAGCATTCTGGTTTTTTTAGCTCCAACCAGAATCTCCCATCTAGTTTGGCTCACAGCAGTCTAAGGCTGCTTCTCCAGCTGGCATCTCCAAACCATTCCAAACTCTTCCTTCAAGTAAGTTCCAAAGGCTTGCAGCAACTCTACCTTTCTGGCACCAGAATCTGTCTTATTAGCTTTCCTTGTCACTGGGACATACTACCTGACACCTGCAACTTAAAGGAGAAAAGGTTTATTTTGTCTTATACTTTGAAGAGGTTTCAGTCCACAGCCTGCTGGCTCTGAGGCAGGGCAGCATGGTCAAGGGGTGTGACAGAGGGAAAGCTGCTCATAGCACATTGGTTGGAGAGGAGAGAGAGAGTGGGAAGAGCCAGGAAGGGAGATGGAAACTTCCAGGTGATGCCACTGTAATGTTCCTCTTCCAGCTAGGCCCACCTCATGAGAGCAAGTCAGCTATGATGTGCCCCATAGTCCAATCACCTTCCAAAGGTCCCACCTATGATACCATGAGGTTTTGGAGTACATCTAGATACAAACTATAGGCAGGTGTAGGGGCCGGGGGTTTGATCCCTGGCCTTCTGTGCCAAACCAATCCTGGGGAGATGACAATTGAGACTGGGCGTGGTGGCACACATCTGTAATCCCAGCTCTTGGGAGACTGTAAACAGGCAGATCACTATGAGTCTGATCTAGTAGTGAGATCCTAAAAACCCTGCAGACCCTTCCCTAAAAATACCAAAAAAAAAAAAAAAAAAAAAAAAAGATACAAACTATAAGTAAATGGACAATTTCATTTTGCTGAAATTTTGGAGGAAATATATCTGCTTCTGTGGAGCTCCCTGGGCTGTCAGCCCGTGTCTGGGGAGCCTGGGGAGTCACGGCCTTGGGTGTGGTGGGCAGTGACCAAGGGGCCGAGTGTGCAGGTCTTGGAGGATTCTGAGGTTATCTGCTGGATGCTTCATCTCTTAGTTTCAACACCAGATTGAAGTGGTTTGTCATATGCTTCGTGGCTGGCATTTTCTTTTCTATCCTTGGAACCGGCTTGCTGTGGCTTCCTGGTGGCATAAAGCTTTTTGCAGTGTTTTAAACCCTTGGAAATCTTGCAGCATTAGCCAGTATGTGCTTTTTAATGGGACCTGTGAAGCAGCTGAAGAAAATGTTTGAAACAACAAGATTGCTTGCAACAGTTATCATGCTTAATGGGGAATTGAACTCAGCCCCTTGTGCTTGCCAGGGAAACGCTTATCCTAATGAGCCATCTCCCCGGCCCCATAAATATTTAAAGATTTAAAATTTCTGAATTTAGTTGAACTTATAACACCATATTTCCAAGAAAAACAAACCTTTTCACAAGAAATTTGAATAAAATTATATCCAGATACACAAAAATGAAATTGTCTAAAACTTATTGTAAGGAAAAAATCATTAAAGCATATACATTAAAAAATTAGCTATGGAAGAACAAAATTAAATAGTATCTTATTCCATATTAGAAAGAAAAAGATTAAAAAAGACCAAGTGTGGGCTGGCGAGATAGCTCAGAGGTCTAAAGCGCATGCTTAGGCAAGCTTAGGCAAGCATGCAGGGACCTCGGTTCGATACCCAGCACCACATGCCATGCCGGCCCCGCCCCCAGGGTGGGCTGAGCTGAGCATAAAAAAAAAAAGAAAAAAATAAATAAAGGAAACATTAAAAAAAAAAAAAGACCAAGTGTGTAAGAAACTAATTAAAGGACTGAAAGAAAGGAAAAAAACAGATCTGTCCTCTTTGAATTTTATACTTAGCAAACATACCTTTGAAAACTAAAAGTAAAATATTTTCCAGCTATTCAAACTCCAAATATTCTAATACCTCCAGACGTAGCATATAGAAAATAACAAAGAGCATAATTCAGAGGCAAGAGAAGTTGTTGTATGCGTCTAGCTGAAGAATAAAAAGCTCTGAGGGGGCTGGTGAGATGGCTCAGTGGTCTAAAGCACCTACTTAGAACAAGCTTAGCAAAGCACAGGGACCGCGGTTCAACCCCCCAGCACCACATGCCAGCCAGTCCCGCCCCCTGGTGGGCTGAGCTGGCCACACACACACACACACACACACACACACACAAATAAATAAACCAGGAAGGACTTTAAAAAAAAATTTTTTTAAAAAAAGCTCTCAAAATGATAGTTATGCAGGGCTATGTAAAATATACTAGATGAACCCATTTAAAAGGTCATTAAAGATTTCTATGAAACAGTAATATATATATATATATATATATATATATATATATATATATATATATATATATATATATATATATATATGTATATATAGCTGACTCAGCCCACCCTGACGGCAGGGCTGGTGAAGTATGTGGTGCTGGGGATTGAACTGTGAACCCTGTGCCTGCCTAAATTTGCCTAAGCAGGCACTTTAGACCACTGAACTATCTCACCAGCCTTATTATTTTTTTACCCTAAAATAAATGAAACAGAGGCTGAGTCAGAAGGATCATTCTGAGTTCAAGGCCACTCTGTGCTACACAGTGAGTTCAAAGTCAGCTTGGACCACTAGCAAGACCTTATCTGAAAAAAAAAAAAAAAGTAAAGTAAATGATAGCTGGGTGTGGTGGTCTGTAATCCCAACATTCAAGAGGCTGAGGCAGGAGGATCTCTGTGAATTCAAGGCCAGCCTAGGCTACATAGTGAGAGCCTGTCTCAAAAAACAAAACAAGGGGGCCAGCCCCTTAGCTCAGTTCTTTAAGTGGCTGCTTCAACAAAGCAGTCAGGCTCAGGTTGCTGTGGTTTGATTCCCACAACTCAAGCCAGCCAAACCTACCATGAAGGCATTTGGAGGAAAAAAAAAATCCTTCAAAAAACAAAAAACAAAAACTAAAGCAAATGATAGAAGAGCTGTAGATGAAGCTCAGATGTAGAGTGCTTGCCTACCATGTGCAAGGTCCTGGGTTCAGCTCCAATATTGCATAAATAATGGAATGGAACCTGAAGTTCCCATGTGCAGAAGTGTGAAAAGTGAATAGAATCCTAATCTCTATCTCTAAATAGTGCTAGTAGAATAATTTCATTAGTGTTTATGCAGATCTTTGTGGTCTTCTGATGAAAGAGGCTTCAAAGAATATAGAATTATTATGATATTATTTAGACTTTCAAACTCAGACTTAGGGGCCAGGGATGTAGCTCAGCTTGTCTGCCTGGCCAGTGCAAGGCCCTGAGTTCAATTTGTGGTTAAACAAGTCTGTGCTGCATAGTGAGACCCTGTACTAAATAAATAAATAAATATTAAAAACAAAACAAAAAAACCTCAGACTCAGTTCCATAGCACCTGTCAAGTTTTTTCAAACTGGGAAGAGTCCAGGGTTACTCCTTTGATGGTGGCTAACAGGTGACTTCCCAAGACTGCTTGGGATGTTCTGGGAAAATGAACTTTAAAATAAGAATACAGGTCATATAAATCTGAACAAAATCTTAGCTTCCTGAGCAAAAGCAAAACAAAAAATTTTCTCACCATCCTTTAGCAGGCAGTCACTGAACTTTTGGGCTGGTTATCTGTGCCCTGGTTCTGCCCCCCACTACACTGTTGGCCTCATGCACAAGGCATCAGGTGTCTATGTGGATTTGTACCAGAACCAGGGATTGGTACAGATTCATCTGAGGCATGCTCTAACATTCCTTATTTTTGGCAGAACCAGGGATTAAACTCAGGCCCTTGTGGTTGCCAGGCAAGCGCTTATTCAACTGAGCTATCTCCCTGGCTCCTGTACCAGAGTTTCTGTTCAAGATATTTCAGCTCAAAGTGAGCTTTGAGCTCACTTTGGTCTCAGTATACAGATTTTGGTCTCATGTCTGCTTTTCATGGAGCATTTTGGGTCTCTCTCTCTCTCTCTCTCTCAATGCTCAACTGATTTCTAATCACCAGTTCAAAATGTGTTGTGACTCAGGCTAGAGAATATTATTTTAATGTGTAAGCTTGAGTTTTCTCTAGTTTCCATTTTCCTTGCAGACAAATACCCTCTCTCCTTTTTTACTTTGCTTTTGTTTCTGCATCCTTGTTTTATTTTTTATTAAAGTTTTATTTATTGGGGCCGGGGAGATGGCTCAGTGGAATAAGTGCTTCCCTGGCAAGTGCAAGGGCCTGAGTTCAATCCCTGGTTCCAAAAA